TTATAATTTCTGTTAACCTTGAACAATTAGTCATTAGTATTTATAAATTTTAATATAGAATAAAATCACTGGAGAGACTGTAGGACGTCTCATTCTTTTAAAAAACTTATATACGTCTTTATTCCTTAATGTTGTTTAATCATCAATATATCTTATCAAAGAAATTTTTTTTTTTTTTTTAAGAACGTTTATTAGAAAATTTACAATCTATACAGCTATATGTACAATAAGTAAATATGTGAATAGGAATAAAATAGACAATGATATGGCGGCGAGGAGGAAGCTCACATTAGAGCCACCTGTGTATTATTAATTTTAAGTGGGTTAAATAATATTAAGAAGGTCTCTTGACCAGTTGCGTTTGAGGCGTCTGTTTGGATTGCCCGGAAGAATTGTTGAATGTAGCTGAGTAACGAGACGGTTTGGATGGGATTGCATTTTGGAATGTAGTCTTTTGTAATATATGTGTGCAGTTTTTTTAACTGTAGCTATTTTGAGGTCTTCGTGGAGGGAGTTGTTGGTGACGTACCACGGTGCTTTGGTTATCATACGGAGACAAATAGACTGGAACGCCTGTATTGTCCTTATGTTAGACGGCTTTGCAACACCCCAGAGCGCGATACCGTATGACCATATTGGTTGGAGGAGGGATTTGTAAAGAAGTAGACGATAGGATATGTGCTGGTTGTGTTGGATGAGCGGTCTTATTAGATGAAGACGAGTATTTAGCTGTTTCCGTTTACTTTTAAGATGAGGACCCCATGTGAGCGTTCTGTCGAATAGCAAGCCCAGATATTTCGCTTCCCTTGCTTGTGGAATAATAGTGTTGTTGAGAATTATGTTAGGACAGACATTTTGACGAAGGGTGAAGGTGATGTGGGTAGATTTTAGTTCGTTGATTTTTATTTTCCAGGTGTCACACCACTTGGATAATATGTTGAGGTGAGATTGTAAAAATTTGCTACAGTTATGCGGATCTTGATCGGCAGCTAGTATTGCAGTGTCATCTGCGTATGTTCCGATGTGTGTTTGCGGTATGTGGAATGTCAGCTGTGTAGATGATGTATAAGAAAGGAGCAATGTCGCTACCTTGGGGGACTCCGGCTTGAATATTATGATAATCGGATAGTGTTGAATTAAGTTTGATTCTAAAAGACCTATTTTCAAGGANAGTTTGACTCTAAAAGACCTATTTTCAAGGAATGATTTGAGTAGTAGAAAGTATGGTGCAGGAAATATTTTTTTTAATTTATATAGTAAGCCGGTGTGCCAGACCGTGTCAAATGCTTGCACGACGTCAAGGAATACGGCAGAGTAGTATTTTTTGGATTCGAGAGATGTAGCAATAGTATCTACGACTCTGTGGAGTTGATGGAATGTGGCATGTTTTGGTCGAAAACCAACCTGAAATTCAGGTATGGTATTTTTCTCTTGCACTAATGGGAGAAGTCTGCTAAGGAGAAGCTTTTCGAGGATTTTACCGAGAACTGGTAAAAGACTAATTGGTCTATATGACGTCGACTTTTCTGGGGGTTTTTCAGGTTTTAAGATGGAGATAATAATTGCTGTTTTCCATTTAGGGGGGAAATAAGAAAGGCGAAAGATCGCGTTGTAAATATATGTAAGCAGTATGATTGTTTTGGGCGGTAGATTTTTTATTATTTTGTTACTAATAAGATCGTGTCCAGGTGACTTGTTGGTCTTGAGTTTTTTGATGATTGATGACACTTCTTTGGGAGTGGTGGGTTTTGCTGGAAGGGCCATGGGTAGTGGAGACGTGTTAAATCGGTTTACTAGATCTAAGTGTGTGGTGTCCGGGAGGATTGAGTGTGGCTTGAAGACATTGGCGAAATGTTCAGCAAGTAGCTCGACCTTTTCTTGAGTGGAGACGGCTAGGGTGTTGTTTAGACGTTGAAGGGGAGGCATGACTGATTTGTGTTTTAATAGTGATTTAGTTTTCTTCCAAAGGGAGCCGTTATTTGGTGATAGGGATGAGAGGTGAGATTTGTACATTTCATTTTTGTGCTTCTTTAGTAGTTTTTTGTGTTTATTTGTTAGAGAGTTATATGTATGTCTGTCTTCAGGGTAGTGAGTGCGCTGCCATTGATTGCGGGCTCTCCGCTTCTCTGTTATGAGTAGTCTTAATTCAGGAGTAAGTTGATTGCCAGATTGCTTGTTTATTATTGGAGATAGGGAGTTGATTTTAGCGCTGAGAATGTTCTCTGTGAGTGTATTAATTGCCAGATCGACATCGGTTTTTGTTTTTAGTTTAATATTAAGATGGGAGTTCTTCGTCATGAGATTTCGGAATTTTGGCCAGTATATTTGATTTTGGGTGAAATTGTTTATACTAGAAGAAGTTTGGGCGTTTATTTGTAGCATGACTGGAGTATGGTCTGAGGCCGGGTCATTTAAGTTAGTGATTTTTGTTAAGAAATGATTTGGCAGATTTGTTAAATAGAAATCAAGTATATCTGGATGACGGTTTGCGTGTGTTGGCCAGTATGTAGGCGCATCTGGAGCGAGTGCTTTAGCATGTTTGGAGGACATGAAACTATAGAGTGAACGTCCTCTTGTATTGGTTGATCTGGCTCCCCATGTTGGGTGTTTGGCGTTAAAATCAGCTCCGATAATATAAGTGTGAGTAAAAATGTTGATAGTTCATTTTCAGGAAACTGACACCCTGGTGGGAGATAAGCAGAAGCGAAAGAAATTGGAATCGAATTTATAATTATAGAGGAGGCAATGATTTGTAGTTTATTAGAGGTANGATTTGTAGTTTGTTAGAGGTGAATGGTAGAAAAGGAGAATGAGATATTTTGTTGGAGATGAGTAGAGCGGCTCCTCCATGGGCAGTACCGTCAGGGTGATCAGCTCTGAGCACTTCATATCCAAAAATTTTGAGAGAAGACGTTTTAGTAAGATGAGTTTCCGATATCATTACAATATCTACTTTTTCTTCTGATAGAGTTAATTGTAGTTCGTTGATGTTATTTAGTATTCCATTGGCATTCCACAAGAGGATTGTGAGTAGGTGTGATTGTTGATTAACGGCCATTTTTAAGAAGTTGCTCGATGACAGTCGTGAGGAGTGAGATAAGTGGATTAATTAGCGTTTTTAGATCGGTAATAAAAGAAGATAAATGATTTGAAAAAATTTTCTCTGACGGCTGGTCTGATTTTGTACACTTAGTTGGATTTTTTGCTGTGGTAGATTGAGTAGTTTTAGAGTGAGAAAGGGGTGGAAAATTTTGAGTGGTTAAGATTTTTTCTGAGTGAGTTTCATTTGAGTTTACGTTAAGTAAATAATTGGTTTTAATGTTTGAGTTGAGATGTGATTTTCTTTGCTTTAGTAATTCTTTATGAGACTGACAGCCCCTATAGTTTGCAGGATGGGAGCCTCCGCATAGGGCGCATTTGGCCGGTTCATTTCGGTTTTTTGTGCAAATAGAGGACTCGTGATCTTCACCACAGCGAACACATCTAGGGTTGTGATTACAGTAACTACGGGTGTGGCCATNCACGGGGTTGGTACTGCGACTGCAGGGAGTGGTGGTGACCAAGCCACTCCCACCGGTGAAATAGCCGGGAGGGTATTGGCAATGGACAGCTTGGAACCTGGAACGGACTTGACAACGACCAACCCCCTAGATACGTCACCAAAACTCTCCATACTGGAAAGATTGCGGGGCGCATCTAGGGGTGGTTCGACAAGGGTGGGACCTTCGGGTCCAACCATGGAGGGGGTTAGTGAGATGAAGGCGGCTGAGCTGGGGGAGGACGATTCCTTACGTTTGGGACGCAAGGAGATCTCCCCAACGGTCAGCCCACCCACCATCATTTTGGAGGACACCCCGCCCGGCGCGGTTGTGCCCATGCCGACGACTCCTCTGCCGGTCTTGGCCAAGAAGCCTAAGTTGGTGCCCCTGACTGCAGTTGATCTCTTCAACGCTGACGGGACACCAAAGAGGGTGATTGGCCGGACCGACGAGGTGTTGTCGGCTGGGCTAGACCTCGCCAGGGAGCAGGCGGGCCAGCTCTCCGACGTGCTGGAGGTCTACAGCCCTCACAGGCGAGTGGTGAAGATGGCCACAGCCCTTATCGAAACCATAAGGCCTTGGCTGATCTTCACCTCACAAGCACGTCTGGGGGGAGATCACCTGTACCTACGTCGGAGAGCCCTAAGTGCCTCCAGGACTGTGCGTCCCAGACGAACTACTGGTGGGACACATTTGACCCACCATCTAAGGCCGTCGGGGACGCAGCGTCCACCCTACAAGGCGGCGAGGTGGCAGTGGGTGCGCTCCTGCCTACCACCGCCGCCAAAAAGCGAAAAAGAAGAAGAAGGGAGTGGCAAAGGATGCTGGGTGTTCGATCGCGGACACAATGGCGTCCTTGCCACTCGGTGGCGTGGCCCCTCCTCCTCCGAAAGCTCCTGCCACCGCTTCAGCCCCACAACCGGCCACCTTGTGGACTGAGGTGGTGAAGCGGAGGGGGACCAAGAAATTGGAGCGCATGGCAACGACGGCTCCCAAAGAGGAGGTTAATGGTGGGCCCAAGCCCAAGCCGCC